GACATGTCAAACTGTTTAATCACAACCTTCTTCTGTGTATTTCCAGTTGTTTATCCATGCTTTTTAACAGAGTAACTGATGATTTAAGAAAGGTACGTACTCACCACAAGCAGTCCTTGCTGTCCTGACTCTTCCCACTGAAGTCAAAGGTAGTCTCCCTGCTTGTGGGAGAAGGCAGCTAATGTAGAATGATTTGAAAATCCTGTGACCTTATGCATGTGATGTCAATAAGAATAGCAATGAACAGCAAAAAGCAAGATCCTCGACTAATGGTAAGAATTAATTCTTGCTTGTTTTGTGGTTTTCTTCACATTTCTTTTGATGTCTTGCAACATGAAAAACTATTCTAATAGCTAGTTTTAGAATACAAATGTACATACAAAGAAAAAAATCCACTTCAGGACCAGTCTTTTCTCTCTCTGCCTGCAAAGAAAATGAGAGGTCAATTAAGTTGTATGCTAATACCTTTTTTATTTGACTAAATGGAAAAATAAAATGCAGGCAGAATTTCAAAAGACACAATCCTTCACCAGGCCATGGAAAGAGAACAAAGGAAAGCAGCAGATACAGAGGAAAGAACTCCAATGAACTGACCATGTTTCCTCTCCCTGTCTCTTCTGTTAAATTGTTTTTAAGTGCTTCACAGCTTGGCTTTCTCTGTGGCTGTACTATTATACTCAGGCTCCTTTATTCTAAAATTCTGTGGTGTCTATACCAGCAAATGGTACAATAGTCTTTAGCATTGGGATTTTATTTGTCCCATCTGTCCAGCTGAGGCAAGAAGCAATACTGTCTCAGCATTGAATTGAGAGTTCTCAGAAGGTTCATTATTCATTTATCTCTTATACAACTTAAATCTTACATGGTCCTACGTAGACTTAGCATGTTGCCAGTTTGAGAGAAGTTCTAGTAAGTGGTGTTTATTTTGTTAGTAATAGCTGTTAACAGATTTTAGAGCATCACTTAATGTGAGATGCTGCATGCTTTAGAAAATATATTATTAATGTCATTATTTATTGCTATCATCTTCAGCATTATAAGTTTCAGCATCTACAGCTTCCAACTAATTATCGGTAATCAATCCAATAAGTAATAAATCCAGTCCTTCATAGGAAGGACTTATTCCCTTGGATTTGTATGTGGTTGCTGTTAGAAGAGGAACTTTACTAGTGTTGGTACATTGGCATCCTAACTACTTTTTCCCCATGTAATCCAGTTGGCATGCATATGTCAAGAATAGCAGTGTCAACTTGTAAGAAATACGGTATACTCCATGCACTTCTGTATCTATAGCTTGAATACTGACTAAACCGGTGTTGGTATGGAGTGGAATAGATATATACATACACATATATAGAGAATATATATATATAACGTATATAATATTATAAAATATATATATATATGGAATAGATATATACATACATGTATATAAATATATAAAAGATTTTTGTTGTGCTGGATGCACTTAGGAGTTACTTTCTTGGAAAATGATGTTGGTTTTGCTGTATTCTGAAGTCAAAATTAAAACTGTGAAATAATAATATATTTCACATTCTGAGTCTCTAGGTATGTAACATATCTGTAATCTAATAATAAGTAGTCAAACACTACTAAAAAGATAATTAATTAGATGTGAATTATTCAGGAGGAACATAAGGAATGTCAAACAAGAAAGTGGGTGCAGTTCTCTTTTATCAAACTCTGGTCTCCATCAGTAGACTGGTGCACTACTCAAAACTCTAACAGACCATAAACTAGATATCTTAACACTTTGAAACATTTCAAGCAAAAGCAAAAACAAAACTAACAAATAATAAAGAACCCTTAATATTAGACAAAAACAAAAACAGACAAACAAAAAAAACCACTAACAATTATTTGTGGTCAGAAGAGGGAAAAGGTCCTGTAAGTAGATTAGGTAATGGTTCCAGGTGTAATCAAAGCAGAAAAACGCATCAACTAATTTTTATTCCACTGTTCAGATTAATGAGTGTTGTGAGATACATGCAAGGAGTTGAGGAAACAATATTTTATTTTGACATGATGCTCCTGCAATATATTAAAGTTATGCCAAAGTGGATGGAAGTAGTGATCTAATGAGGAAATCAAAAATTTTCAGTAAATTCTGTTTACCACAGGATTCTAAAGTTTTTGTTGTTGTTGTATTGTTTAGTTTTAATAGCTACTGTAAGTGTTTAAATATGTATGGATGTGTAATGCAGATACAGGTGAATATGTTTGCTATAATGTCCAAGTTCACACACTGTGCTACTGGTTTACTTTTTCTCTGTTATAGCAAGACATATTTCGCTCCACTCCTTCATGATGGCTTCTTCAGGCTTCTTCATATTGTGTTTGCCAGATTTAGACAAATCTAAAATGACTAAGAACTGGTGCACAATGGTAATATGAGTAATAATAACCACAATAGTTAAGTATTTCCTGATCTGAACCAGTTTATGCAATTTGACAAACAGATACAATGTGGAATTGCTATTTTCCTTTTAGTGTTAGGGTGTCTACAGGTGGGTTTTCATTTTTGTAACAGTGGTGATAAGAATGCTGTGGGGTGAATTCTGACACTGCAGCTTTACTTGCAATGTCAGTAATATCTCCCTGAGAAAGGACACAGCATAGTGTCACAGATGCAAGAGAACTTGCAAGAATAAAGCTTTTAGAAACACCTAGTCCTGCAAGATATTTAGATGAAGACATTCTCGGCAACTTTTGTAGCATCTTTTGTCACTTCCACTGCAGTTGATTCAAGGGTGATTATGACTCCCAGTTGTGGAAAGCAGAGTTATTGAATGTTTACTTTGTTATTCCAGTCTTCTTCAGCAGAAATCACTGTTCTGCTACGGAATAATGCAGAGAGTGACAGAAAACTGATCCATAGGCACAGAAAAGAGGATAGAGCAAAATGATCTAGAACCTGAGCTAGACCCATAAGCATTTTTGTAGAGTGGTTCTACCATCCTTGGCACTTCAGGTCAAGGCCTTATAGAGAGAGCTCCAGTTCTGCATGTTCATGACAGGTTTTAATTTTTCATGTCAGGTTATGACTGTCCATATACACGAAGTTGTGATTAGGTCCACATGTATCCAGATACACTGTCAGTACTGACTGTGGCTGTCTTTGTCTTCTTGTTTCACAGAATTTGGAGATTAGATGGTATCAACTCTTCATTGATGGGAATTGTTTTTGCCTGACATTAAGCAGTTTATTGTTACATTAGTAAACACCACATAAATGGATAGATAATAAACACTGTGCAAAAACTGTTTGTATAGATATTGCCAAAATGATTGCAGCCAAACACTGTTAGTCATTATTTTTTCCTTCTTTTCCTTCTTGCAGGCTGATTTCCTGTATAACTTTTCAATTTCCATCACAGCTTTTTATTGCTTGGCATATTCTGTTCATATATTCAGTGTGCATTAGCATGTTTACATGAAAACAGGTTCCTGCTGGTAATCAACAAGCTACCACATTTAAAAAATAAACCAAACCACCAGTATTTGTTCACCTCTGAGGGTTCCTTCTGTTTTGCCTGATTTTATGCCACTACTCAGCATCTTGCTTCTCCAGCCCAGGAGTTTCTGGCTTCTTATCACAGTCACCTGGGAGCAAATGATAAAGATCTCTGTAGACATTTGATTTCCCTGTGTCTCATGCCCTAGAGATGAATATACGGCTCCCAAGTACTTCCAATCTCTCTTGGTCAAGAGCAAAAGCAAGGCTGGCTCCTGAATTTGAAACTGCTGTGTGGAGAATTAAAGAACTACATTCTGCTTCCCATGTATGTCTTTGTATGCATTGTATGCATTTTTAATAATTCAGAAATGTTGAACATATTCACATATTTTCTGAGATTTTTCTCTTAATACTGAAATCAAAATTCAGACTTGTTAATTTGCTTTCTCTACAAATATTCAATTAAATATAGTAAATATTTCCCCTTTAATTTGCAGAATTAGTACTTTCAAGTAAACAGATTGAGTTAAGCTCATACAATTTCAAAAGGTAAATTATTTCTTGGTGTAGGATTATTATCTAGGAGCAAAAGAGGAGCAAAAGATTAGGTTTGCTTTAGATAATCACCTAATTGTTCAGATGCAACTCTGAAGTTCAACGAAGTAAGTGTGTAACAGGTAAAAAGCATGTGAGACCACGTGCTTTTACTAGGAGTAATGCTTCCTAGACATCATTTTTAATAAAGTCAGAAGGATGGGTGTATACAAAATACATATCTTTACATGTCTAATACTCCAAAGCGACTATATTCTTTGACTTCAGAGGGAGCAACCAGTGCAGAATAGAGACATAGTACTGCCTTTTTTTTTAAGAAATTACCCTAACTGACTCTCATGTCCTTAGCAGAAATGTCATATTTAGGAAAACTATGATTCCCTTAGGACTGATTTCTCATTCACTACTTCAAAAAATTATGAGTCTCAAGGGAACTTCTAAAGGCATCTTCAAATCTCTTTCCTTCCAGTCTCATTTTTTTGTGTCTTATGAGTCCTACAGCTCTCTAATGTGCCACATGAGGTTGCTGAAGTACATGTTCTTGCTGCAACTGAGATGTGAAGGAAGGGATACTTGTTTAGGGATCACTATTGCCCCTTGCTCAGATGTTCCAGTGATTTCAATGCAGGCTTTACATCCAGATTTTCTTGTTTATCTGGCAGTTCATTATTTAAGGCCAGCCTGTCAAAGTAGGTTAAATATTCTTTGGGAAACATGGTCACATCTTTGAGACACCACAAACATGTTTAATACAAAAAGATTGGCTTGATAAAAGGAACATGATAAACTTGCATCCCCCAAAATAGTTTTCTGCTGTTCTGCTGTAGATTTCTAAGACCATCAGTATGCAATGACAAATCTCATGGCAATAAATTCCTGGAAAAGGCACAGAGAGACACCAGCACAGCAGTGAAAAAGATTGCCGATGATTTGTTCTAACTACTTGACCTTATGACCTCTTCCCCAGATATATGACCAAGATGGGACACTGCAGCACTTTATTGATGGTGGAGAACCCAGTAAGTCAAGCTGGATGAGGTACATCCGATGTGCAAGGCACTGCGGGGAACAGAACTTAACAGTGGTTCAGTACAGGTAAAGTATGTTTCATTTACTCAATGCAGCAAAAAATCAGACTGTTACTGTCATCCATGTCACCTCTGATTGCAAAGACAGTGGTAGAGCTTTTGTGAATGTGCCATTCAGGGCAATAGAAAAGCTACAGAGTGTAGTGAGAAGAGGTTTAACTTTGCTTGCCAGAAGTTGAGGCCATCGCAGCAAGCACGTCAGGCTGGGCACTCCTGGGTGCCACTTGTGTGCTGATCACACTGCACAAAGCACTCTGCTCGTTTTCAAAAGGTCTGATCAGATGCATGTGTATAAAGCAGTCTTCTGCACTTCCTAAAGGTGTGTGCACTAGGGAAAGGAAACAGCCCCACTGGAAATGAGGTTTTCTGAAAGAGTCAGTCATGAGCCACGTGTGCACCTATGGCTTATCTGCAGAGTGCACCTGCTAGCCATGATTGTTAGTGCTTGTGCCTCTCAGGCTGCTGGATAGAGAAGGTCAAAAGGCAAAGACAATGTAAAGAAATTATGGTACATTTTACTTTATACTTGCAAACAGATCCAGAAAACCTAGACAATGCATTACATAAATACATGATCTCAGCTATAAACAAACCTTTTGTCTCAGAATCAGAAGCAACTGCTTGGCCTTATTAAACATGATAGGAAGTACATCAAAGAGTGGCCTGTGTTTGCCAGCCACAGTGAGCAATACTGGTTTTGGCTAGTTGTTTTAGAGAGTGGAGTTTCTTTTTTTTTTTTTTTTTTAAGAAGGAATCTTAAACTTATTTAAAGTATCTTTAAAATTAAAAATAAAACATACAAAAGCAAGCTAAAATGAAATATATATAAAGTTTGATTTTCCCATAGGGTTCCAATTTAGCAATGGTAAAATTTTTCAATTGCATTTTCAGCTTTTTTATTCTCTGGCCAGTTGACTAAATAATGCCACACTTAAAAAAATAACAATCCTATTTATACATTACAAATCTTTTATTATACCCTTAAATATCTGATATTTATAGCTAAAATCCTGTCTGATTTTAAATAAATGCAGTGGATAATGAATAAGGATTGCTGTGATGAAAGAGTATTTTTGTAGGTATCTTGTGAAGTATTTCTCGGTGTGGCAGGGTGTGTGCGTATATATACATAAATATATAAAAATGTGTACATATATATAGATGACAAACCTAAATGGAACATGAACATGAGAAAGTCATTACACATCTGTCAATATTAAGTGGATTTTACAACTTTCCTTTCATGATGGAGTTTTTTACTTAGAGTTCCCTCTGTTGATCTGTTTTTGATTACTTCAGATCTTTATAAAATGAACTACAAAAACACAATTTAAAAAACTGGCATCCATCACAAGTGACTGCATCCAAGTGTAAGAAAATAGAAAAGTTGGACACTGAAAAACCGGCCTAATTTTTATTGTACATGGACGTCCTCCTCACAGAAAGTCAGCTGGTTTAAATTCATTCTGTTATGATTTGTAATATCTAAATGGAATTTTCTTCAAAGTGCTCTTGATTGATTGACCCTTAGCTGAACGTTTTGTTTTTATTTTGAGGCTGACAATAATGTTTGTTGGCATGTGTTCTGCTTCAACTGCGTTGGGACGCCATGAAGCTATCTTTATGAGTCATCCAACCACAATACTAAATACATGTCAGCAAAGGAAATATTATCCGAAAAGGGAAAAATCCCTTTGATGTACTTCAGCATGCAGAGATTTCTGCGAGTTTTGGAAGCTCTGCACGCTTGTAAGGAACGGTGTACGCTTACACTTTTTTTTTCCGGCCTACTCCAAGCCTCACAGACCACCCATTGCTCAAAAACAGTTCTGCTCTTTCAGCGGCGAAGTGTGTCATTTGGTTTTAGCACATTCATTTGCTGGGCTGCTGTGTTTATGTTAAGGGAAGCCAAACTGAGAGATGAAATGTTACAAGGGTGAAGTACAAAGTAGACTCAATTTTTCTCAAGTTAGGAGATACTGGTAATTTATAGCATAGCTCTGATTTTCATTTTTATGTAACAGTGGAAAGAATTAATGAAATGTGCAGTGCTGGGAAGAAAGAAAGAGAAGAAGAGAAGAGGAGGAGGGAAGGAGAGTGAGACACAAAGGGGAGAGTTTTTGTCAGATATTCATAGAACAGTAGGAAAACCATTCTGCTTAGCTAGCAGTGCCCTCCTGAGACAGGGTGGCAGTAAGCGAGGAAAATAACAAGATAAATGAAATTTTTGCAGCTGCTAGTAAAATATTGAGAATCTGCACTTTTTTATTGATCTTTATGATCCTGTTGCCAAGAGCCACTTTGCGGTGACAAAATATGTTGACAAGTGCATATCTCACTGCCATGAAAAATGTGGTAAAGGATTCTCCTTATGTCTGCAGTGTTATACAAGGAACAAATTGCATTGCTACAGCCAATTCTTTATAGAAAGTCTAAATTTAAGGCCTACCAACCCTAAACACTTTTATCTTGAACTTCAGGCTAACGTTTGTAGCAATTCTTCACTGAGAAAACTGGTTGAGGCCTAACATTATTTTATTTATTTATTTACTTATTTGGTATATAGATGTTTTTCTGCCTTACATAAGCTGTTATAAAAAATGGTCATTTCTTGGGACTTTGACGGTACCATTTTGGTAGGTAATCCTTCAGATGGAGTAGACTGTTCTTCTTGTATACATTGAATTTCTATCCATCTCACATAAGGGTATTTTACTGTTCTGTGTGAAGCATAAGGGAAAAGGCACTACAAACTATAAACATTTTTATTTTATCTTGTGCCTGAATCTAATCTTACACAGTTTTTGTCCCTATGTAAAACCGTTAATGGTAGAAGTATCACTCTCAAGCTATTTACACCAGTGCATGATCAGGATAAGGCTGTAGCTTTTATACTACAGACTTTAGGATTTTTCTTTTTTGGTCTAGGATTATCCACAGTCTTCCCACAGAGTGATGTGATAATGTTTAAGGTAACACTAGTTTATACTAACTCAAGGATCATCAATGTTACCCTCATGTTTCGTACAGAGGAAGAATTCTGTGGTTGTGTGTTCAGATTGACTCATTTTTTTTTGCATTTTCCTAAACCAAAGTCTATTTTACTCAATAATCCAAGATCTCTCTTTTTGGTGGCATACTTCTCTAATGAAAGGACACATCATACTATAAAAAAACTCTGGATAAAAGCACTCATTCAAATTAAAAGAACCGTCATTTATTTACTCCTAAAATTTATTAACTTCAGCTTAGATAGTAAATGCAAATCTGTTTCAATCGGTTAACTCACTGAACTGTGTACATTGTACAAAATGAACAAGGTGTTGCATTTCTAAAATAATGTTCAAAGGGACATTGTAAGAAAATATTGGTCTTCTAATAAAATCCTAACATTAGTGTAAAGTTGGTATTTAAAACACATTAGTTACAAATTAGTTAAAAGCAATTTGTTAGCTGCACTACAGAAACCTGCCAAAGTCCTTCACTGAGGATAAATTCAGTTTTAAAATATTCAGTAAGATATTAATTTAGTTATATGCAGAAACGGTTCCAAAACCATGGATTTCTATTGTAATACTGTGCATGATAAGAGGAGTGCTCTATTCCTAAACTCAGCATTTTTTCTTTTTCTCTTGATTAGGTCAAATATATTCTACCGGGCTTGTATAGATATCCCACGAGGTACAGAGCTATTGGTGTGGTACAATGACAGCTACACATCTTTCTTTGGAATCCCTCTCCAGTGCATTGCACAAGATGAAAATTGTAAGTTCCTTCTGTATTTCTTCCAGCACAAGCCAGAATTCCTGTTTCATATCTAATCAGTTATATTCCTAGGATATTTTAAGACATATTAAATGAAAGTGGCTATACATTTAAAGTAAGCTTGATGTATACTAAATAAAACTCCGAAGCTGATGCACTTAAGCTACCAACATCACGATATAATTACATAATTAAACTGAGGTGTCTGAAAGTGTGCAGGTCCATGCAGATTTCCCATTACAGCAGTCCCATTTAACTTAGCAGTGTGTGGAATCACTATTCCTTATAAGTGGTTCACTACCAGTAGTATATTCTTAATTGATTTAAGGATAGCTTGGCTTCCTAACCGGTTTTTAACTGATTTAAGAAGAGCTGATTTAATTCTTAACTGATTTAAGAAGAGCTTGATTCTCTCCATTTGTTACAAGACCCTGTCATTGGGTAGCCAAAAGAGTAATGTACTGTAGGCCCATCAGGCCTCTGTTAGTGACTGTTCATTCTGTTGCCCAAGTACCTTTAGAAATACTTTGTCTGTGTGACTGTAGAGATGAGTTTCTTACAGTTAAAAGATAAAATTGAGCTCCTCTCAATATAAGTTGAGCGGAAGTAGCCTGAAATGACAATGAACTTCCATTGCATCCTGACCATCCCCATTTTCATTCATACTTGTACCCCTTCTCAATATTTTATTTTACTAGGAATCATCACAAAATTAGGCATAAAACTTATAACACAGGACCCAATTTTTATTGCAATCAAGTGCTGGATACCTTTGTCTATAATGCAATTAGGTGATCCAAGCACACCTTTCAATTTCACTATTTTCATGTGGAATTTGACTAGAAGTTGCATCAAAGACCTTTTTTTTTTTTTTTTTTTTTTTTTTCTTTTCTGTTTTGACAGCTATGTATGTCTACATGGTGGAAGAAACCAATAATGGATGCTTGACTGACTTTGGTCTAAAGTGACCCTGTGGTTGCTCACGTATAATCAATTATATATAGGATACATTTTTTCCATTAGGCATTTGGATACTTAAACAGCTATTGTAAGAACTCTCATCTTGTAGCAACTTAAGTAGTGAACCATGGGGCAATAAAACAGTAAGATAGCAGGGATTAAACTGTCAAAAATAAACATCCTTTTCATCTTGAGTTTTCAAATCTGTTGGGCTTGAGAAGAGTTTAAAAGAAATTAAATTACTAGGAGTAATGTTTGCTGATTAAACTCATGCTCTGCAGCGTACAACATAGAAATATTATTTTTTCTGTCATGAGCCAAAGCTTTACAAAACCTTTGTTTGAAAAGCACAGCATTATGGTTAAAATTTATAAATATTGTGACTTGTTATTTTTCTGTGAGAAAAGTTTGAGTTTTTTCTGCAGAGAGAAACTGACACGAGTAGATGAAATTCATCTCCGAGCATGGAGCCAGTTACAGGCTGCTATAAGACTTAAGTACTACTTAAACCCATGAGCATATCTACTGCACAGAAGTATTTTGACTCAGTGGAAAATTTGATCTTATTGCTTCCGTGGACTTCAATGAATTAAATTAAAGAAAAAAAAATAAGGGGAAGAAGGAAAAAAAAAGAAAGGGATCTTTTTCTTCTGTGAGGTTGCTGTGGGAAAATGAAAGTTACCCCTTGTTCTGAACATTTTTAGAGACATGAAAGATGTCCAGATTATATGTCTGGAAGCTTGTAACAGACAGACCCAAGGATGTAACTCTGCTTAGAAATCAGGTACTCAGATACTCCAAAGAAAAATACAGTAGAAGGGACCTCAACTTAAGTATATAAATTAGCATATAATATTAGGAACATTGTGATTGAGAAAATAAAGTAAAACATAACTTTTTGAAGTAATTGGTATAATATATTACCATAATGTTAGTTTTTATTACACTTTTATTATATATTAAATGATGTTAGATTATTCCAATTCATAAATGAAATTTAATTCTCATTAATCTATTATATTAATCATAAATATATTAATCTATTAATCATAAATCTATTGTAATGACTTACCTAAGCAAAAGTGCAGTTTCCAATCACCTGTTTAAATAGGTAATTTTTATACACATACACAAGTATAAATGCTTTGCGACAGTAACTAAACGTGAACATGTGGAAACATAGACACATGCATACATATAATTTAAAAGTCTCCATTAAAATGTTATGTCGTGAGGTCGAGCATGACAAAATTAGAAAACATGAGAATGCACTGGTTGCAGGTGGCCTAAGTTATGCTTTTTTTTTTTTTTTTTTTTATTGTGGTTCAATCTCCCATTATCTGACTCAATTTTTTCCATATGACCCTTGCTTCATTCACTGCATGATCTAGATGGTATGGTAGTCAAGGGATGAGGCAGCTGTTCAACTTTCTTCTGTATGTTTGAATTCCTGCCTTCCTTATCATATGATATCCAAATTTAATACTGAACTGCTTCTTTGTGAGAACAGTTTATTGCAACTGTTGCTGAAATAAGCTGTAGCTTGTTCCTATTTTGTAGGTGGGAAATCAATGCACAAAGATATCTATGCCTATACTTTGCATTGTCTCATGGTAATCTGACTGCTATTAGCATTAATCATACAGGTCATGGTGAAGTCACTGGCTTTATATTATGTAGGTTGTTTGACTATTTGTGAGATGTAATAATACTCTTAGTGTCTGAATATTGAAAGGATAAGGAAACTATTGCTGCAGGAGATATGTAAACCCTGTTGTATCTCAAGAAGAGTCTGAACAGAGATTTTTTTCTTCATGCTTTCAAAATTCATGCTTGTCTGTGATATAGCAATTGCACATGCTGACTGCAGCATGAAGAGTCAGGGTATCACAAGTACAGCAGTGCTTTCTTTCACATGACAATCTCGTTGTATAATAAATGTATATCGCAGTCAGGTTTCTCTGAGTCCTGTCAGTCTCAGATACCTCTTTGTATGAATTTTCATTCTAGTGTCACAGAATCAGCATCATCCATTCAGATCACTGTCTTGTTCAAGCTGTTTAAAAAAATAAATAAATAAATTGTTAAAACAGAAGTGTATAATTCTAGTGTGAATAAAATGGAGAATGGGTTGGTTTTTGCTTTGTTTGATTGTGTTTTTGTTTTTTTTTTTTTTGGTTGGTTGGGTGTTTTTTTTTTTGTTTGTTTTGTTTTTATGGTGTCTCCCAAGATTGTATTAGTTCTAAAAAGGCATAAAAAGGATCTTATTTACTTTTCTTGTTTTCTCTCAGTGAATGTCCCTTCGACTGTAATGGAGGCCATGTCCAGACAAGACACACTACAGCCATTTAATAAAAGTAGCAAACTATCCCCTGCCACTCCACAGCGATCCGTAGTATTTCCACAGACTCCGTGTAGCAGAAATTTTTCTCTCCTGGATAAGTCTGGGTCCATCGAGTCAGGATTTAACCAGATCAGTGTCAAAAACCAACGAGTTCTTGCAAGCCCAACTTCAACAAGCCAACTAAATTCTGAGTTCAGTGACTGGCATCTTTGGAAATGTGGGCAATGCTTTAAGACTTTCACCCAGCGGATCCTCTTACAGATGCATGTGTGTACGCAGAACCCTGACAGGTAAAACCCAGGCTCTCTTTATTTCTGTATCTACTGATAGCCAGATCCACTGCTTTATTCTTTTATCAAGCTGTTATCATTTCCAAAACCAAACCATTATTAGGAGGAGCCTGTACAACATAATTCATCTGCTGCTCTGTGAAGTAAGCTGATAAAAACCATTGGTTGACTTCACTATTTGTAAAAACATTTGGTGCCTAAATGTACAGATAAAAGGAAATAGCTAAGGATATAATCTTGTTTTCAGAATGGTTTGGTACATCTGTTGGAAGCAACAAAATAGAAGGAAAATTTATGAATATCATAGAAGGAAAAATGAGGTCAAGATAATTAAAAGTCTCTCTGTCTTCTAAAGATAATCTAACTTGCTGCTCAGTGGCTGTCACAGTCATTTCAGGGTTCACCTATAGTGTGCAATGTGTATGAACTTAATTAAGTACTAAGAGGTAATGAATTGGAATTTTTTGCTTAGTACTATTTTTCTTCAGAGCATGCAAACCCATAAATCGTGCAAAGCTGTCAAAAGGAAATACCTACTCCACTAGTGATGTGGAGGAAAACAGATGCCACTTATTCAATAAACTAATATCCACACAGAAGAAAAATGTTGACTAGATACCTCAGAGTCAAAGTTGGTTTGAAAGTTTGTCAATACAGAATTTTATGGCCGTGAACTGAGGATGAAATTTAGCTGAACAAGTGAATTAAAATTTCAGGTACTCTGACCGGTGGCACAGTAAATATAATGGAACCATTATTTATGAATCAAAGCTGGTTTATTTGACAATTTTGATAGCTGGCAGGACAAAAGACAAAAATCAAATTAATTCAATAAAAAAGCTGTCCATGTTTTGTCTCTTCTTCAGCTGTGAAAAGGTTTGAGCAGAACAGCTGAATTCCTTGCAATTTGTTTTCAAAACAGCATTCAATTGTGAACTTAATTTAAACAAAACACTATAAAAACAGTCACCTGTGAGTCTCTGTTTGTATGCCTGTCTATGTCTTTTTGTGTATGTGATTATCTACGTGTACGCATGTGCTTGTGTGATTCTGAGAGTAAAGATACACTAGAGTATAAATACAGTTTTCCAGGATGATACTTCAAGCATGCTAGGAATAAATTCAATTCTACTCAAATCTTCATAGAATTTGAAGAGTTTATAATATTGCAAAAATAAATAAATAAATAAATAAAAATAAAAATCAACATTTTCTTGGTCTTAGCAGAAACAAATGCTACACTAAAGAAGCTGTAGGACACAATGGCCAACTTAAGTGCCACAATGTAGAATATATGTCCTGAAAGGTCCACTCTCCAAAGTTTAATAGACTTTTCTGTTTTCAGTATTAGAGCATCCTAAGCAGATGCATAGAAGAGCATAAAATGCTGCATCAGGGGTCTAGAAGAGCTATGCTGTGAAAATCCTCCACATGGCTTCTCAGCAATTCATCCAGCCAGGTTGTGAAGACTACATTTCATCCCTTCCTTTACTTGAACTTGTATCTCCCTTTTTAAAGAACCAAGCTGCAGATAATAAGTAGTACAAGAAGAGTACCTCCTAATGGAGCTGTTCTGCACTCTAAGGTGTAGTTAAATACTAATTTGCCAGAGAGAACAACAGAAGATAAGTCAACCTGAGTATCAGGGCTGTCATCTTGGAGGTCTGCATTTTTATTCTATTTTCTTCTAAGTATCCCGTGTCTAATGTTCATTGAAACAGAGGCTGGAATTCAAGTCTTCCTCTTTGGAGGTGAACACCATCATTAGTAGGTTTCTGATTTATGGCGTCTTTCCATTTTGCCTCTGCAAAAATTTGTCCATGCAATACAGGCCAGATTCACCATGAAAGTGTAGAGCATTTTTTCCTCAGAATACCCTATGACATATTAATCAAATTATCTTGATCGGAGGACAGGTGGTTACTTCTCCCCTGCAGGACCAAAGAGAGCAAAGAGTGATTAGAGAAAGAACTCTAAAAATTTGCTGAGGATTGGGGCGGAAGGATGGTTAATCAGTGAGTTAGGACTAAATGTTGACGTAGAAGCTTTCAGGATGATATGAAATGTAATAGCTAATGCCTCTTTCTAAATATTCATGCTAGCCATTTAGCTGATTTCATCTTTGATTGTTGGTTATTGTGAATCCAATTCTTATGAAACTTTTCTGTTGAAATTTTTCTTGTGAAACTTTTTCTGTTGTATTATGTAGAGAGACTCTAATCTCAAGAGGATGCAAGACACACTGAGGAACAATGTGTTCAATACATACAGTTACTGAGATGCTGTTTTGTGACAGCCATGTTTCCTCTTTACTGAAGAATGGCTCACATCTCTATCTTCTAATTAAATAAATTCTGTAGACTGCTTGAGGAGGCCACTTTTGTAATGCGTTCTTTGTTTTTGTGAGACATGCCATCAACATAACTGTTGTAAAAGCATTTCCCAATAGATCTTTTGAAGTGGGGCTTCAGTCACATGAATCTGTTCAGGCTCATTGCAATTTATTTAGTGTTCTAAATACCAAAGTAATTGTTAGTGCAGATCATATATGTTCTAGGATTTGGTTTCTCATATTCCTACTTTGAAATCATCACAGGTTGAACTTACATCATGGCGAGGTTTTGGTCTTTTAGCCAGGTACCAATAGATAAACTATTTAGTGGCTGGAAAAGAGTTGTCTTTGGTTTCTTGAACATATTGTATTTATCCACATGAAACGTTCCTAAAGTGTTGTACAAAATTTCCTGCAACCAAGAAGATAGGGTATGATTTGTGAAAGAATACCTGCCTGCCATCCTGAAGTACTGGATACAACTCTCTGGTTTGTATTTTCTTGCCGATATCTGCAGCACCACTCCAGCTGATAAACAGCTCCCCATTTATTGTCAGCAATTTGTGAGCAAACCAGCCACTATATCTTTGATGTGACTGAAGCAGCAAGGGCTGTCTACTCTAGGAAATGACTTTAGACTATCTGTTCTGGCTTTGTATTTGTTTTTCAACAATGCTGATTACCTACAGCATGAGGTGCAGGGAAAACATCTTTGACTCCTGTATGAAACATCCAGGAGTCCAAATCATGAACAGATATTTGAGAAAAGCAGCTTAGCTGGAATTTGAGAAATAAAAACAAAATAATAACAAACAAACAAAACAAAACAAAACAAAAAAAAAACACCTTTAAAGCTACTCAGGTTCAGAAAACATCTGAATGAAAGCAGAAAGGTGGACAGACATAAAATAATAATATATATTTATTTCCATTAGGTAGAGAGAAATAAATGTTCCTATTTAACAAAAAGATGATTTTATAAATACATTTAAAAAAAATATGAATACAAAATAGGAAGAATTTTAAAGATCAGTTTTTTGCTGTTTTAGATAAAGATTATCATTGCAACTTAAATTGAAATTAATTTTATTTAATGGTTTACTTATAATTTACTTCTCCCCATCCACAAAGATACTTTTTAGCTTGTTAAAATTTGTAAGGTTCCTCTTGGAAGCTAATAGTAAATAAGGTTAGAGAGAATGTGAGAGATGGATCTTAAATCAAGATCTGAATTCTGGGACTTGCTGAGCCTTTCAGGTTTTTTTTAAACCTTGCTCAGACAGAAGCATTCTGAACAACTCTTCCTGAAGAAGGAGTCAGAAATCTGTATTCTTTTCTTTTATTTCCCCCAGTGTTGCAGAAAATTTCAACAAAACTTTCTGGGGACTCCAGAAAGTCATATACAGCAGAAGCCTCTGTGAATCATTTTTAGAGCAATATAATAATTATATAAATTATTATATAATTTATTATAATAAATTATATAAATATAAATTATACAAATATAATTATATATAAATTATATAAATATAATAATATAATAATTTTATAAATATTTATATAATTTTGTATAATTTTTATCAGTGATTTTTTTTTTTCTTTTCCTTCAGCTAATGGTGCAGTTTCTTTTAACAACATCTTTCATGTTTCTCACTTTGATCACCACTTTCAGGATGCATTGTTATTGAAGGAAGGCATATGGTTGCAAGTCCTGAGAGCTGTCTGTGGAACATTTTCATATACAGTTTGTGCATCTGTGTGGTATATATTCTCATTGACTGCCAAGTATTTAAGCTGACAATTTTAGGAAAATCCCTCTCTATATAACCATATTGGAGACTGATAAATTGTAGATATTACCTGGCCCTCGCTATTCTTGTTTGTTCAAAATTCTTGTTTATTATTGTACATCTAGTTTGCTGTTACAGCTCAAAATTTACTTGTGAGGTTTTTGTTTTGTTTTGCTTTAAAACATGAGCTCATAGTTTAAAACTGAAAATTTCATAGATTTTATTCTCTAATATCATAGACCAGGTCATTTTGTGTTTATCTTTTTCTTTATAGGTTCTGTGCCTTTGACCTTGATACTCTCCTTAAAGCCCATTAATTATTTTAAACATCTCCAAAAAAGACAAACAAAAAGTAAATGTGAGCAAGAGTTGTCTATTTCTGTTTATAGAGTGCTATGGAATATTGCTTAATTAAAGTAAACATCATGCTGAATTTAATGCTTGTTCTTGCATAATCTTTTTACAAAGGTTTGCAAACTCCCAGTACTCGTAGTTAGTAATAACAAAGCGTGTACAGAGTAACACCTCTCCCTGACAGCTTCAAAAGTTTGACAACACTTACTCGCTCTAACTTTCTGGTTTTGTTAGCTCCTCCGCAAACATTTGTAAAAGGCAATCCTAGAATCCCCGGTGGGCTCAGCTTCCCTGTATGTGCTGATGCTTGGTGCATGAAGTGCTCAGGGCTGTAGCCTTGCTGTGTAAGCAGAACACCACAGCAGCAGGGGATGTAGAGTTGGGTCCAGTTTTAGTGAATGTAACCCACTCATGGTCACAGCGATGCTAAGAATGCTTCAGTGTGCAAGCTAGCAATACCCTTAGGTATCAATTTGTTCTACAGACTCTTAGTTCAACTTGTTAGAGGAAGACCTCCCTCCAAAATATGTTTCTGTTCGGCAAACTGTTACCTAGCTTCTCTGGCTGCAGCTGTGCTCTTTATCATTGGTTACTGCATGTTTTAGAGATTCTTGAAGTTTGGCCGTGAAAACCAATGCTCGTAGCATTTCAGCACTCTGCTTTCATTTCTACAAGAGGCTGTGTGGTGTGACAGTTTCCCCTGCAATGCCATGAAACCCTGCCTTGGGCTGAATGGCATGTTATGTTGCTAGGCTCGCTACTCAGCACTGACAACAATCATATTGTTTTCTTCTTAGCCCTCAACAATGAGAAAAGCACCTTCAACTGCCTGCCAGTCTGTCTTTCAGTTGGTGCTTTTCTAGGCTTTTACAACAGGCCAAACCAGCATCAATGGGCTATTTTGTCTCCCTGGTGTGACAGCGTTTCAGTGTAGAGTTACAGGTATTCAGAAATTTACCATTATGAAGAACTCATCTCCTAAATATTGCATTGGCATTTCACATGACTCCTGAAAACAGCAACTTTGGTTCTGAGGAGGCCTCACCAGAAACCAGTTCATCATAAAGGAAAGAATCTGAAAATTCAGTTGAAAATAATCATAAGATTTTTCAGGATTATAAAAATTCAATGCACCTTAAGCATGCTTCTCTGATTTATGATGTAGAAAATATGCTTATACTGGCTAGATGTACTTAAGAGTTAGGGGTTAGAAAGTACGTTGTTCCAGTAGAGGAATGGTAAAAGGTAGATTAGCAGAGCGATCTGTTATGTTTGCTAAATGAAAATCTAAAAATTATCAATCTAAATGTACAATTGCCTGTCAGCAGCTATCAGCTATTCCAGGTGTGAAGAAATGGATGTTTTGCACTGTTATGTCCTAACATGTTGCCTACCTGCTGCATAAAGCATGAGCTTTGGTGATGCTCAATAAGCCTTATGTGGAACATGGTATTTGTACTGGTCAAGTACAAGATGAAATTTCTCCTAGAAAAATCCAGTTCCAAAAGCATATGACAGGAAAAGACACTGTCACCACAGGGCAAAATCATTCATGAGATTTTCTTAAATAGGGAGCAAAAAATATTTTTGAAAACACAACTTGAAAACCTTGGAAAAGCTCAAAATTTAAATAACTTAAAAACCTGAAAACTATTACATTACAGACATTCCCTCCTGAATTTCACTTTAGTGGACCATCATATGGTCAGGAACTGTAAGATTAGGCTTCTAGAAAATATTGATGTATGCTACACAGTACTAAAGATACATAGCTGATTGATGGTCCATGTGGTCAATAACAAGTGTAATTTTTCTAACATGAGAGTTTTCTTCTAGATATCCTTCCTTTAAGCTTATACAGGAACTAGGAAAATATGTTGGTAGGCAGTTAATGAGAAACATTAGAACTGCTTTTGACAGATGTCAGCACATCACTTTTATCAGCACATTGCTATACATTGGTGTAGCTGTCCTTAAATTTAACTTTCTTTAAAATGCTAAATGAGAAGATTTTGATCAGGGTTGATTTACATCTGGAAGGGCCTCCTCTGCGGAAAAAAAAAAAAAAAAAAAAAAAAAAGTAATGATGAAGAGATTCAAAACTATGTACTTCCTGGCACATGATAGTTGAAGAATAATTTTTTATAGAAAAAATATTTCTTCAGACAGTCAGCATGTACTTTCAAGCCCTGGTACACCTGTTTTATCAAACCAGTTACTTTCATGCTTGCAAATCTCCCTATACATGTGTAGAGGAATATTTTAGGTATGTCAGCTTTCATATGAACAGACTGACATCCACTGACATCCACTTTGCTTGAACATTAATTTTCTGGAACATCAGTATGCATCATGGCAATGACACAGCTATGTTTATATTCACTTGCATACTCAGTAGCTCAAGAAGGTACAACATGTCCTAAGTAATACCTGTGGGAATTAGCTTTTCTGGGCTTGGACCACAATCAACCTAGTAACACACCATTGCAAAAAACACCTGTGATGATCACTGTTTTTGTCACTTTGTCCCTTCTGCCTGTAACCTTCTAAGATCACCAGAGATCACCATCTTGATTCAGTGTCCCAGTGCAGACAAAGAGATGGCAGAAGACATAACTGTTACATCAAAGACAGCCCTGCTCTGCCCACGTCAATGTATTCACTGAACCAAGCATTGCACATGTCCAGTTCTTCTGCACCACTTTCTCTCTCTCTCTTTATTTATTTATTAATTTTTTTTTTAAGCATTGATTTTATTTCCATCAAGAAAAAATTCTGAGCACAGTAAAATGGCTACCATAGGAGGGAAAAAAAGCCAAAAAAAAAAAAAGACAACTTTTCTACTTACTGAAAGTTTTTTTTTTTTCTCTTGAAAAAATAATGTAGTATCCAAAATTTGTGAAAATTTGGCATATTATGAATCTGTCTACTGTATAAATTAGACATGGCATTTTTAAATTGTGATAGTACTTCAATGCATATATAGGCTTTCTTTTTAAAATGAGCTAGTTAATATGTCATACATCTAGCCTGAAAAAATTACTTATTCTGCCCACTTCATTCTTAATCAGAATCACATGTGTATAAATTGGAGAAATGTATCTGCCAAAAGAGTAGGTTAACTTCTTTAATAGCTGTTCTGCCAAGACATGGATGAATGGAAAAAATGCAGCCTAAGTGATCTAATAATAGGTAATTTTTTACAGGGCTCTTTGTCTTGAGCCAGTGAAATTTATTCTGAGTATATCCTTTGAAAACAGGGATATTTAAACTCAAAATTTATTTTGAGCCAGTGTAGGTGGTAAAAAGATTTTGCTTGGTATCATAATATTCACTGATAATAGGCTTGGAATTTCAACAATTTACATACAAGTTACAGTGTGACTTTTCAGAATATAAAATTAATCATATAGACTGTTAGAAAAAAAGAAAGAAAGAAAAAAAGATTAATTGGTTTTATGTAGTGTTGTATCATTTATTGTGGTAGCTGTTAAAAATAGATAACCAGAGGCTAATAGATGTTAATGGTCCCTTTCACTATTAAAAAAATCAATGTTTCTTGGATACAGAATATCTTAATGTATTCTTTTTGCTTAAAAGTTTTTGATTTGAAAATGCCTAAACAAATAAGTCTGCATTCACAAATCATCTTTGTTTTACCAGTACTTGAAATTTCATGTCAACTTTGATAAATATTTTCTGTGCAAATTAACCATGCACTTGCACAGAGAAGATTAGCAAACATATTACTGCTTGTCTTCCAATAAGGAAAACAGATATTTATTACTTTTTTTTTTCCTTCTTAAAATATTATTTTGTATATATGCATATTTTTAAGGGCTGTATCATTCAGGTTAAGTAACCTATCCATAGATTTTACATATTTCTTTCAAACTTATAGGAGAGCAGTTAGATTTTCAAATGTAAGTAATTAAAATTGTAAGCTATCGAGTTATTGACCAATACTGAGCTATTAATCAAGCTAAAAAATTCTACAATCAGGGTTCAGTGCTCTGAAGCACTGTAAAATAATAGTATTTGTGTTCAGTGATGCAAGTAGCCACAATTAAGCAGTTCACTTGACAAATGAGATAGTTCACTTTATTTTGCACTTAATTGAATTGTACATGCTTGGTCACCATTGTCCCCTTCCTTATAGTTTTGGTTTCTAGCCATTTAAGCATACACATTTATTAAAGAGAGAGCAATTAAGTTGGTGGTTGCCATTGGCTCTTGAGATGCAGACATCAAGAGCTGTGTTTTAAAATGTTTTACATGGTAAATATCACCCAAATCCCACCTCATCCCTTTCCCATCCCTGAATTTTTAGTTTCCTTAACAAAAAGTCTGAGGAACATGTAGGACTCTCACTAACTTATATGAAATATGAAAAAAAAAAAGTATATTGATATTAAATCACTTTTTACAAAGCAGAAATATATACAGTTTCTTTATACTTAATTTAATTTAGCAAATGTATTTGCATTTCAGCAGTCCTGTCTCACTTTGCTGTCTTGTATTCTTTTCTTTCTGTGTTTACAGTGTTTGTTAAGATTCTGAATTTGTAACATTCCAGTCAGGTTTGTTTGTTTGTTATGTTTGTTTTTAACAAGCTGTGATGTTGAAAACCTAATTTATGTGTTCCATTTCAAGATCACAATAAAGACATTTTCAGTCTGGGTGGGAGAAACCTATTAATTAAATTAAAATATTTTCAATAGCAGTAAGAAAATAGAAAATAGAAAATTTAAAAATTGTAAACATGGCAGTTAATTTTTCCAGTGTCTTTCACTCAAAAATTTGATCTCAAAAATAAAATAAGTTAATAAGAAATAAACAAAACAAAACACAAAATAAAATAGATTCTTCCAAACCAGTATAAAGATTTTCATTACAAGCAGTTACAGAATCCCTGTAGAACATATTTGCAACAATCAGACGTATCTGTAGGTAAGACTATAGTGGGCACCAATAGTCAGAGAACTTCCTAAGCCTCTTAACTGCCTTGTATGAGGAATTTTCTGTCAATCAAACCACACTGAATTTGGGAAAATAAGGAAAACATCTGACGTAGTGCTAGTTCACTAGTTTGTTGAATTCTGTTTGGCGGGTCACCGTGCCCACAGACTCTCAGGTGATTCCTGCACAAGTATTTTACATTTGCTAAAGAAGTCAAGATGATTTGGGTATGTGTCTTCCAAGAAGGCCCCAACAAACTGTCCCCGCAGCTCTCTTTGGAAATTCCTGGGAAGACCAGATGCTCCTGTCCACGTCATTTTTGACTTGGGATGACAGAGCTCACTGACGGCATGGTATTTCGCTTTCCCATTGCAGGCCCTACCAGTGCGGCCACTGCTCCCAGTCTTTCTCGCAGCCATCGGAGCTGAGGAACCACGTCGTTACGCACTCCAGTGACAGGCCTTTCAAGTGTGGCTACTGCGGCCGGGCCTTTGCTGGTGCTACAACACTCAACAACCACATCCGGACACACACTGGGGAAAAGCCCTTCAAGTAAGTACTTGAAGCCAGCAGCATTTGCCTGCTGTGATTAGAAGGGAAGTGCATAGCTGCTGCTCACTAGCACCACCAGTCTGCACCAGCACATGGGAGAGGCTGTCAGGAAAGCCATGGCCAGATAAATACATTTATGCTGCAACTAAAATTGGAATTAAACAAGGTTTGTTTTCAGGTGCCTTGCAGGCCCAGAGCAATTTCCTATCCTCTGATGAGAACCTGATTGTTTTAATTAAACAACAAGCTACTGCCAGAGAACCATAGCTGAAAATACACTCAAGACTGGGACAGGCTGTACTGGAAGAAGGTTTCAGGTTTCTCTGAGGCGGAGGTAGCTGGAGTTTCACATGAGAGCTAATTTGGATTTGGTTAAATATGAGGACAGGGAAGGAGAAAGGGAGCCTCGGAACCACTTTCTTAGCCTCAGAACCACTGCATAGAAAATGCAACTCTGTCTTCTGGCATAAGTTTGGTCAGATTATAATAGTAAATTGTTAGTGTTTAGCTATCCAAAATATTTTTAAAAAAGGAAACATTGCCTGATCAAGGCGTCTTTTAATTAAACAGACTCTGCTGCTTTCTGCAGTTTCTGTTGATTGACATTAAAGTCAAGCAGACATCTGAGTCTCCGAAGCATTCTCTTCTCCACCCTCACCTCCAGCAATAGCAAAGCCGATCCAGGTCGTTACTTTCTGTTGTGCAAGGCTCTGCTTACCCAACAAGATATATTCTCCAAGCCAGAATGCACTTTTTCCATATTTGTGTCTGTCTCTTTGCTGAACTGGCAGGCACAAAATTTAAGTTTACTGCACCTGGAACAACCCCACTGTGGCAGAAAAATAATGTATCAATACCAAGGCATAAAGTGTTAATATCACTTCTTTTGAAAGCTGCCTAGAAGAAAAGGGAGTTAAGTGTGGGAGAAGGTGAGCCTCTCCCAGCTCTCCAAGGACTGCCTGTCCCCGGTCTACTTTTCTCCCTTTGTCTTTCTTTTCCACTTTGGCTGTCCTGTGCCCCATGTCTGGTTATTGTAAGCAAGCTCAGCTGTGGGGCCTGTCAGAACCCCTCATAACAAGCCCGGCAGCGATACGGGTGCTTTGCCTCCATATATGGCTGAGAGGAAGCCTGGCCTCGACCGTGTCTGTGCTGGGGGCAAGGGGACAGAGCCTGGAGACAAACTCTGCATATCCAGGACAGGAGAGCTTGCATACCAGAAATTGTGGCTGGGAGAGCCCTGTAGGTGGCAAAACACGGAAACTTGGAGCTTCTCAGCTATGACTCCACCAGAGCCAGTCTGTTGAATGCTGAGAGCCCACAGATCAGCCAAAAATAGTGAGAGCAATCAGATTGATTTTATCTAGTTGCTGTGTAAATAGATTTTAGTAATTAATGGAAGAGGTTTCCGGGTCAAAATGGAAAATAGATTTCTTTTAATGTTAAGGTGTTACTTATGTGTAACCTTGTTGACTCCACTTAATTTTTTTCCTTAACATCCTGTTTTTGTCATGTTTCCAATAGATCTGCTATTTTGCCCCATTTAGAGTCATTATTTTTCCCCTTTAGTTTAGTAATTTTTCCCCTTCTCCAAAATAGTCTACAGTACAGTTTCATTTGTGAAAAAAAAAAAAAAAAAGTCTTAATGTATGTACTACAATTGGCCAGTGGTCTGGGATTTGTTTTTTTGCTTGTTTCACACTGTTTGTGCTGAAGTATTCATGTACACTGGGATATGTCTGCCTTCTCTTAAAGTCACAGGGTAGAGCAACAAAAAATATGGGTGCTTTGTATTGCTGCTTTATGCTGCATGTAAATGGTGTAATTAGTCATTCTTTTACAATTTTATTTAGTTCCTTCTTTAAATTTAAGAAACAACAGTTCCACTTTCTCTCTGGAAGACTCATTTAGATGTAGAGCTTAGGGATATGGTTTAGTGGGGACTGTTAGCGTTAGGTCAGAGGTTGGACTCGATGATCTTGAGGTCTCTTCCAACCTAGAAATTCTGTGATTCTGTGATTCTGTGATTTGGAGTAATATGACTGGTAATTTCACATGAAGCTAAAACTGGAGCTGCCATTCTTCCTGTCCCTTGTAGTCTGATAAGGGGATGCAGATGCCCTGATCCTGCAAGCTGTTCAAAGGGCAGATTTGCCTCCCATGGAGGACTGCTTGTGTTTGGGGAAGGAGAGACAGAAAACTTACCCAGAAATTGATCCTTTGTCTCTGCTGGAGGAAAAAGACATAGCTGCACCTCACCTTGATTTCTCCTTACCATTTAGAATCTCTTTTGTAAAGGAGAGATCTCAGATCTGGTAATATGTAAGCTTAGGTAAACAAACAAAACCAAACAATTTTAGTAAACAGGAACCATAAATGAGACAAATAAAACTTCTATATCTTGATCATGAAATTTTTGTTTACAAATGGATTTTACATGTACACTTACCAAAAAAAAAAAAAAAAAAAAAGGGGAAAAATCCATTGAGATGGGTGTTCTATACCTCAAAAATGTTTGTATTCACGGCAATATACATACTTCTATTAAATACTACTACTACTATTAACAAGAAAGACCATGAAAGTGCTAAATTATTTAAATTCCAGATAAATTGTTTTAAAAATAACAGGCATCATTTTAAATGTATTAGTAAGTTGAATTTCATGGATGAAAATGGGCAGCCAACTAAACAGTTAATGTGCATCTTCTGTACACGGAATCTCAGTATTTCTAATGCAGTAAGACAGCTGTGTTTGTAAGTGGTATTTGGACAAATTATAGTGTGCATGGATTAGGCAGGCTATGTCAAACACTGAGTGTATGTTGTGTACATATTGTTTCAAAGGTACATTTGATAGTCAGAAAGTATTTTCAAATATTTCAAATAATTTCTTATTTGGGAGTCGGTCTGTGATTGGTTAAAAAGCTTTAGATGTGAGATGACACTTTCTTTGTAGTTCGTAGTTAGCTTAGCCTAGCATACCTAGTATGTATGGTGGAAGACTTTTCTATTTGCTTTTCCTTATAGATAAAAATGCTAAGTGAGGTTATCTGTAGTCAAAGCTTTAGTTACATTGCCTAGACTGCAGGTCCAGTGAGCAGGGATTCCTTTTCATGTCATCACAAGCTATCAAATCAACCTCAGCATTACAAAGTTTTTGTGTATTCTTATCTTACTGAAGACTCCACTATGGCTGCTAGCAACTGGAAGCAAAGCTCTCAAGCAAATTAAAAGGTAGGAGAAAAAGGGAAATTATTGGCTATCCTAATTTTCTTAAATTCTCCCCCCTCAGCATCTCCTATTTCAGAAAAATAAAAGGTTATTTAAAGGACCTGCCTGCAGAGTCAGGGGTATGCAAACATGTAATTTTCAGGATTCAACCAAAAATAATGGGAGGAAAGATTGTCAGATTGGGATAAGCCAGGTGATTTTCTCTTTTCTTACTCAAATGCAAAACTAGGGAACATTCATTCCAGACTGAACACAAATATTGTACCTGCAGTGATACCTCAACTTTTCCTTTTTTTCAAAACCCTTTCAAATTACTTTAAAATTTAGTGTTAAAAGTAATTCTTGAACAAAATTTTACAATATTTTGAAAATATCCAATGAGAATATTTTTTTCCTAAAATAGACCCTCAATGTTTTCATCATCTGAATCCTTTCATGGAAGTTGACATAAACTTGGGAATTAAACCAATCCTGGTTATACTTCTCAGTGTCAATACTTAAAGGCACTGTAAAGCAAACAAGCAGACCAGTGAGGGCTAGTTAACCAAACTCAGAAAACCTGGTACTTCAAAAATCCCCTAAAATATTGATGTTCATGTTGTTTATGAATTTAAGAGCCATTTTGTTCACTATATCCCCTCAAACAAACAAATCACATAGAGAAGCCTCCTGGTAGAATGAAGTCTTGTGTACCACAACAGCCAGGCTGT